TTTGACTGCTAAAAGTTCAGCCCTGTTTGAGTCAAAATTTCCAATGGAGTTTGAAAACAGAATAAGGGAAATACCATGTTCGTCTCTTAGAATCCCACCAATGTCCGAGTCCCCAGGACATCCTAGGGATGCTTCGTCAGCCTTGAATTTAAGGCTTCCTTCCTTCTGCTAGCTTGGACCATGGTATCTTAACCTTGGTTTTAGAAGTTTTTCTAGGAGTGACATTTTCATTAAGTTGTCTAGCCATATAGCAGATAGAGGCATTGATATCAGGCCATTTGGCCTTCATCCGCCAAACAACTCTTGTTTTGGCTAACTCCAGAATTAGCTCCGCACACCATAGCTTGCCTCTGAAAACAACATCATTACGGGATAACCATATGGACCACAAATGGCATACCAAGCCATCTTCCACACAATGCCATCAGAAAGACAATTAGCCGTGTCCTTCTATAGCAAAGGTTTCCTGCTTTTTTGGATGATAAAATTCTAGTAAGAAAAGAAATATATATGATGCAATATCACTAATGAAATTTTAGATGAATTATGAGATTCCATCCTTAATTGGGCAATTTATTTGCATTTTTCTTTTAAATTTTGATGCTTTAAAAATGCTCATAGATTGAGAAGCATAATGTACATGCTAATCTATGTACATATATAGTACAGTCATGATTCCGCAAGCATTGTCTTTTCTTTGTTCCATCTCTAACTTAATGCGTTAATTTTCCTCCTCCTTTAAACAATAATTTAAGCATAAGATTACAACAAACACCTCTCAGCACCACAATTGAGCATAAAACAGAGTAGAAAACAGATATCGAGACTACTTTTCCAGCAACAACCCAATTCTAGTGCTCAGTCTAGTATCCTTAACAAAACTTGAAAAGAATCAGCTACCTAATCTCAAACAAGTTTTAGTAGGAGATCTGGACTAACAGATATTTCTTAGCACAGTCCTTAAACCAGAGGACAGCAACAGACCTGTTCCACGTATATTGTGTACAATCTGGCTTTGCAATCATCACAGTGTCCTGCCAGTTGATACTTCCGATCTCGATCCCTCTAGTTTCTCTGGGAGTAGCCAGTCTTCCTTTTATCTCATCGTTCCACTACTTATGAGCATTTCAAAGAAATGTTGTACTGATTGCTTGCACATATCCATTCAATAAAATTTAATTTACAAACGAATAAATGGATTTTAAATTAAGACAATTTTAATTTGAGGTTTTACACTTACAAGAAGAGAAAGGAAATAAGTAATTTGCAAATTGATGTGTACCTCACTGAGCGACGGAGAATTACAAGTTAATTCGGAATTAAAATCATAGCACCTTTTGACATTCTATGGATATCTGGCCAAATGAAGAAAATAAGGGGGGGGAAATCCCCATATGAATAAAGAATTGCTGCGCACAAGTGATTGGGTGAATTGAAGTAAGAGTTCATGTCTGGCCTTATTTAATTCCCCAATCACAATTTCCTATCATATATATTTCGTAGTTTCAAACAACCAAAATTTGATCTAAGATGATTAATTATATATTAATTAATCAAGTGTCGATAGATCTGAAATGTTTTAAATTTCGTGGGAATGAGAAGTGCAGATTATTTTATTAACTAAAACTAATAGTAGAGTCTATGTCTCCACTGCCCTAACCATGTCTTGATGTTATCATAACGTGCAAGTCTGAGAACTCAAACGTTAGACATAAAAAAAAACTAGAGTAGTTATCAATCTTTTTTATTTAGGTACGATTCATTACTTATTAAATTTATTCTATTCGACAGAGTCTTAAATTGATTTTAGGTCTATCTAAAGAACAAATAACTTAGTCTACAAATTTTTAGAGTTAGGTTCGAGAGTACGATTACACACGGAGAAGGATTAACACCCCGTGATGCCTATTTCACGAATGATATCATTTAATTATAAGTTATCCTATTATAACCTAAATCATTAATTTTATTTTTATGTTTTCGTAATTGTTGTTTATTTATTTTATTCTTTATATTATTAGCAAATTAAAACATTTTATTTGGTTTTACTAATATGACGTGCACATGATGCAATTATAAAATACATAACATAAAGTCCAGATAATGCCAAACAAAAATATTTTATTGAGGATATTTTTCGAATCTACCCATCATACTGATGGGATTCAGAGATACTCTCTCACATAGAAAAATACTTGAAAAACTAGCCTTCATAGGTTCAACGAGTAAATCCTATTACTCAAGTAGTCGTTTGCAAGTAAAAACAATATTTTCATGAATGTTGCCCCTAACACTAGCAAAAGCCTTTTATTAAGGATATTCTCTTAGCCCTCTTATCGTATTGATGGGACTCGAAAGTTTTTTTGCATCTAGGAAATTTTTCGAAGGAACTCGCCTTCGCAAACTCCCTCGAAATGTCCCATCATCAGGGCTTTGACTCGTACACACAATATGTCTACATACCATAACATTTAAACCATGCAATGATAATGTGTGACATGTTATAAATTTCTATATCCATTATTAATTATTCTCTGTATTCATTATTATTATAAGTTTACTATCTTTGAAAATTTTATTATTACTATTTATTTATCATTATGAACATCATTATTTTTCATAATCCTACATATTTTAAAAACTATATATTTCATCCATCACCTCTTGTATTTATTATTATCATTACTTCATTATTTTTTTGTTTTTATATTTTTGTTTGATTATTAATTAAATCGATATGTTTTTCATTTACTTAGGATTATAAACAACGGGACTCAAGATTAAAACCCTCCCATCGTAATGGTGAGATTTTAATCAAAACTCCTAACCTAGAAAAATTCATTCGAGATTATGACTTCTCGCATTCCAAATGAACATTCAATTATCGGTATAATTTGATATTCTTTCCATTAATAATATTATATATGCACGTGCATTTTTTTTACACATATATATACTCTACTTTCCTAATTATTAACCTTAAATATTATTTTCCTTTTTCATTCTATTTTCTTCTGCACCTATTTTTTTATAACTAAATATTTACCTTTTATATTTTAATTCATCATTATTATTATTTTATTACTAAATATTTATTTTTCTTATATGAATATTTCTCATTTACCTAAATAAATTTTCTTACAACTAAATGTTTATCTATTTCTATATTTGTCCTATCATTCTTCTATTTTATATGAAAATATATTTTTCTGTTAATTATTCTTGTATCTAATTTATATAAACCCCTATTTTGGTTCCTATTTGTATGTATTATTTATTTATTATTTTTTTATACATATACACATTTTCCTATTTCTATAATTTCCTACCCATACCTCTAATATTCATGCTACCACAAATATATTTTATTTTATTATATGTATGTTTCATATGTATATTATTTTCATAAAACTATATTAAAAATTCTCCAAAACAAAGCCAACCAACACAAATATCTAACATACAAGACCAATGAAACAAAGGCCTGAAGCTTACTCAAAATTTGAGCTCAGATTAGCCCAGAGAAATCAGACCAGGAGCTAGCTCACCAACCTGCTTCAAGAAGCCGAACTCCCTTCTGCGAACGCACCGTTTAAGGACTCAGAGGAGTGATCTCACTCCCTTTTGAAACAGCTTTGGCCAAAACGGTGCCGTTTTGTGCCCTAATCCCTCACAACCATGGGTATTTAAATTTTTTTTTTTTCCTCTCCCTTCATTTCTCCTTTCCACTTTCTCTCTCTACGGGTGGTAGCTGCTCTCCCTTCTCTCTAGCTGAACATTCTCTCTTCTTCCTCAAATAAAACCGTAGTCCCAAACCTTCAACCTCCTCCATCTCTCTCATAGCCGGCGGCACTAAAACCCAGTTTTAGCCTCCCCTAACAATATTTCCAAACTCTCTTGGCCAAACCCCAAATCACTCAACCCATTTAGCTTCATTTTTCATTGCGATTTGTGATTTCTTTTCTTTTCTTCTGTTTTGATTTTTTGGGTGTTTGGGTATTTTAGTAGATGGTAGGAAAGAAAAGCTCCGATTTTGTGTTGGTTCTAGGTTTTCTGTAATTTCTAGAATTTTAGGATTTTGAAATCTGGCTCCTAGGCTTTTGCGAATTTGGCTTCTTTCCCTTTGATTTGCGAATTTGGCTGACCTCATGTGCGGGGATGCAAGCACCTGTTATCCCAGCATCGTAAGGCCTTGGCCAGACGCGGATTTTTAGCATCTAGCAAGGAGGCACGAGTGCACCTGCTAGGGTGCAAACTATGATGAAGACTATATGCCAAGAAATAGCAAGAGGTGAAAGCAAAAAAAAATAAATAAATAAAAATAAAAAGTAAACATTTCTGCAAAAGCTTGCAAGGAATCCGAAGAAAGAAACTTCCAAAGCATCTTTGGAAAAACGAAGAAAATAAAAACATCCTTGAGGTTCCAGGGGATCCAAGGAAAGAAACTTCCAAAGCATCTCTGAAAAGAGAAGAAAACAGAAGCATCCCTGAGACTTGTAGGGCACTTGAGAAAAGAAATCCGAAGAAAGAAGAACAAAAGCATCTGGCAAGGCATCTAAGGAAAGAAAACTTCCAAGATTTTCAAGACAAATTGTGTCCAAATTTTCAGAAAGGTTGATTTCCAAGATTTCAAAACAAATTTTGCCCAAATTTCAGAAGGGTACTCATTAGCAAATAGGGAAGACTTGTCCATAAAGGCCACCATTGTAATACAAAAGGGGAGCAGGCCAGAATCACTCTTAAAAAGCTTCTCTCTGTAACCAAATCCCTGCAATAAAATTCTGAAAGCATTTTCTTCTGTTTTATTTACTAAAACAGATAATAGATTCTTAGGTTATGTATTCTGTGTATATATGTTTGATAATCGGTTCTCGAAATTTGTAATAATCTGCTATTATAAATATTTTTCTTTTTGACTGAGAGAAAAAATCGTATACTATTTCCTTTAAACGGTAATTAATTCAAGTTCTTTAGTATCCTTATCCTTCACGCTTGTAAACTACACGTAATTCTTTCCTTCATGGTAACAACAAGGCACGTTCTTGCCAGTAAGATGCCAGTGGGAAAGAACAATTGTCTTATTAAACCTAACTTCATAGACTGGAAGAAGGCAAAGGGGAAAAAGAAATTCAAAAGTGGAAGTCTAGCATCAAATTAACAAGCTTTGGAAACTACGTAAGTTAACTTTCTCTGAGGATTATATCTGAGTCAAATTCCACAGAACCTGGACTTCCATTGGGCTATCTACCGATGCCATCAACTGATTTGTGCCTATAAATTCATCTTTTCAATCGCTCAGAAAGCAAAAATACACAGCGGCAGGTAGTCTTAATAAGTTTCCTTTCTAGCACTAGTTGTAATGGTTGCCATTGCATATTTCTTTGGTCTTTTGTTGATCAATGGAGCAATCCTCGAGGCGTTTGATGCAAATTCTATGAACTTCTTTCGTGTGTCGAAGGTTTCAAGGTACGCAACAGAGGCAAGACAACCTCACAAGTTGTATTACAGTCCACCAACAAGCCCTGATGGGAACATTAAGCGTGGACAACCAGCTATTGGATCGTCACCACCCAAGGATATAGGGCAAAGATCACAGCCAGCCCCTTAGTTTGTGTCGCCCTCATCTTCATGCCTATGCTACCTTTAATTTACTCATGAAACTTATCATTAATTTAATAGACTAATGTATAAGCAAAAGTTTTATATGAATTCTAATATCGCAAAAACATATGTATTCCTCTTTCAAGTAATTATTCTAGTACAAATACCCATGGTTACTATGTTTTTGGATTCTTTGTTACATCGCATATAAATTTGCTCAATTATTATATTAATTTCCTAGCAATCTAACAAATTAGAATTGCCATGGCTCTTGCCTCTTAGTAATAATTTACCTTATGCACTCTTGTTAATTAAGTGCCCTTAGCCTCCTTCGTCTTCTACCAGGCAGATGATTGGACCAATTGTAAGTGTTTTTTTCAAATTTGAGTCATACTCCCCAAAATAGGTGACTTATAAGAAGGAATTCTGTCTTCTTAATTAAAATATATAAAGTTTAAAAATTTTTAAAAGGAAAGAATTTCTTGCGTACAAGTGATTGGAGAATTAAAATAAGAGTTCAGGTTTGGCCTTATTTAATTCCCGAATCATAATTTCCCAACTCTCATATGAATTTGATACTTTGGAACAACCAAAATTCGATCTAGTATAATTAATTACATATTACTTCCTTTAAACTGTAAAGACTTAATTCAATTTTTTTTAATTTTAGTATTTTTTATTAAAAAAACTTTGTAATAATATTTGTCACATAATAAGAAAAGTTTGGGTTACCATGTTACTTTATCAACAAAATAGTTACACGAGAGAATTTGATTATAGAAAAATATTATCCTTAATTCAATTTTCAATAAAAGTATGAAAATTAAATTCATTAAAATTGACATAAAACGTAAATTGAAATAGTGAAGAGACCAAAGTTTTTTGGCCAATACTTCAATTTGCTTATTTTACCCGTGATCACTTCGACTTTAATGGAGACTTTACACGTGCAATTCAAGTTTATATGTTATATTGTGCCGTTGAGTCAAATTGGAGGAAACTTGGACTTCGTAGAGGGGGCTATAACACGATCCAATAACACCATCGCAGCCCATCTATTACTAGAGGCGCGTGGAATACATGTAGTCGCCAACTTTGAAACTCCCTCTCCTGTCTGCACTCATTTGTTTCCACAGGATTAGGGGCGGAGCGTCCCTTTATAATGGTGGGGCATGACCTCTTAAAATTTTTAAAATTTTTTATATATTATATATTTTAAAATAATTTTTATTAAATAATTAATATAATTAAAAAATAATAAAATAATTTTACAATCTTCATTTAATTTTACTCAAATTTTTAATTTTTAAATTTTTTCATTCATATTTCTCTCTTTTCTTTTTTATTTTTATATTATGAAATTATAAAGAAGTAAAGTTTTTATTTAATTAATTAATTTATATTATTATTATTTATTGTTTTCAATTCTATTCTATTTGTTCATATATTTTAAGTTTCTATAAATTTTCTCTTAAATTTAAATGAATCATCAACCATATTTTTTTTGTTATATAGATTATATCTCCTACTTATCATGATTTTTTATTTTTTATTGTGTAGATTTTGTTTTTAATGATTTTAAGTTTTAAAAATTAAAAAATTATTACATATGTAATTCTCAAATATAAGTTCTAGTGTTGCATTATTGGTTATTGTTTAAAATTTTATCAATATATTATTTTTATTAATCCTAATTATATAAAAAAATTATTTTGAGTATATATTTTTAATGTGCTTTATGTTTTACATTTAATTGAAAAAAAATTATCTTGAGTATAAGAAAAAATTATTAATTATGTATATCGAATTTAACTATTTATATTTTATGCATTATATTTAATATTTAGAATTATAAACTTAAATATAATAAAATAAAATATTAGATATTGATTACATTAATTTTTTAGTTGTTTATATTGAGAAAAGTAAAATTTCGAAACAAAATAAATGATAAGTTTCTTACAAATAATTTAATTATTTATATTAAAAAGAATATTATTATTGTCGAATAAATTTTTCTATAGCACTATTATAAGTTTTTTTTATTTTTTTATTTATATGTTATATAAAATTATTATTTATTATAAATTTTTTGATTATTAATAATTAAGTTCAATATATTAATTTTAAAAATTTTTAATTTTTATTCTTCTTAGCTTTTGACTTTCTAATAAAAATTGACTAATTCCACCCTGTATATGAACTTGACATTGTTGGCCTACCTAAAGTAAGCATCCAAGAATGCCTATTAATTAATCCCAAGTGTTGAGCTAGCTTTGCTTCGTAGCTCTAGTAATTTTTCGAGCCTGGTCATGGATCCGAATTCTCGCCTTCTACTGTTCGTATTGATTTATGGCCTCCTACTTTCACAAAGTGAAGTTGCCTGGAGGCCTTCTTTCAACACAATATCTTCCTATGATTTTCCGTACAAGTTCAATGTGGTGTCCAAGCGGGCTATTGGTATATCACCACCGCTGCCACCGAAGCACAGAATTGGTCCTCGAATTCAGCCGTTTCAACCACGAGCTCCACCACGGTCTTCCATTGGCTCGGCATATCATACGACTGATCAGTTTTAGTATTTTATTAAAAATATTTTATAATATTATAATTAAAATAAAATATATTAAAATAAAATATATAATATAAAAATTAAAAATTAAAATAAAATAAAATTTAAGAAACTAATATTTATATAATACAGGAAAAAAAAATTAAAATAACATATATAATATAAAAAATTATATTAAAAAAATAAAAATAAAATATATGATATTAAAAATATAACTAAGAGATGATATTATATAAAAATTAATAATAAAAAATATAAATATATTAAGCTTACATTTTAATAAATAGAGATAATTTTTGAAAATTAACATTACATTTCCAGTAAAGTACTTGTAAACCAAAAACTGCAATGCAATCTTTTTTACATTTTAATCATTATTTTACTTGTATATCAAATATTGTAATATTATTTTTTTCTACAATCACATTGTTTGTAATCACATTTTTTACAATCATATTACCTGTAATTATATTGTATTGTAAAATATCAAATATTACCTAAATTAAATGTTTAAGTGTCAATAAAATTTCTTTTATTCTTAGCAAATTCAAGAGTTTGATACGTTACAAGTTTTATATTTTTATATAAATATATACAAATGACTATTTTTTTCTAATAAACTGAACAAACTTGCGAGACACAAGTTCTGCGAAGATACCAAAATGACTTGAAATCAAGTTCTATGAAGATACCAAAATGACTTGAAATTAAAAATTAATTTAAAAAAGAAAACTCAATGCTTGAAACAATTTCAACGTATACATTCTGCTCTTCTCTTTGTAGACTTAACAAAACTTCTTTTTGATCGAGTGGTACAGATGGTCCCCAAAAGAAAACATCCTTCCGGGAACTATCCTCTGTCCGTCTTACACTCTAATCAATGACTCAGCACTTTCCTCACGACATTTACTTTTGTTCTTTTTTTAAAAAACTTTTTGTTTCTTTACGAACAACACTTTGACTTTGTTGGGTTTGGAGTACTCCTTAGCAAATGGGCAATCCAGTAGGCTATAAAAGGTCACATGCATGGTTAGCATGACAAAGAATCCATTCCCAACTCTCAAATGGCTGCCATTTCTTACCTTCTAATACTGTTGTTGATCCATGGAGCTATGTTCTCGTATACTTCTCCCACCATTGAGGCCTCCAAAACTGGAAATTCATATCACAGCAAGATTTTACAACCACCCCCAAGCCCTCGTTTTAATTATAGACTTTCTCAGACACCTAAGCGGTGCAAATTAGGAGCAGGACTCGAGTTTTGTGAGCAGGGCAAACAAACGTCTCCTTGATTTTTAAATCTTTGTTTGAAAATTTCCGTTAGATGGAATACAATAAGTTTCCTGAAAGACTCTAGGAATGATGATAATGATTATCATTATTGAGCTAGGACGTAAGACTTTCGAACAAATTGCAATGATACAGGTATGTTTGATGTAGCCGACTGATTCCACATAGACAATGAGATATAATTTTTGTTTTTTGTTGATGATTTATGTAACACCACCGAACCTCGATGATGAATATGCTTGATTTGTGTTAAGCTATTTGAATGAGTTACTGAAATTTTGACGTAAATGCCTATGAGTTTAAGGATTGTCTATGTCCATAGAGATCATTATGAGATATATGAATATTAGAAAGCTCAAATGATGTTGTGCATATATTTGACACATGAATGACATAGACATGCAATGTTGGCAAGTAGTATGT